CCGACTTGCCCCCACGTCCAGATTTTGCACCGCGACCCCAACCGGTACCTCCTTGTTGGTCGTTGGAGTCGTCGTCTTTCTTTGCACCGCGTCCAGCACCACCGAAGCCACGTCCTTTGCCACGTCGGCTCCCTTGCATCCCGTAGCCGCTGCTGCCGTCGTCTCCACCCCTCAGTTGGCGGCGACGGAAGTCCTCCTCCAGAATCTTCGTCAGCACCCACTCGAGCGTCCACAAGCTCTGGTTCTGCGGCAGGCTCAATCCGCTCGTAAATTGAAGCCACGATTCCGGCAGCAGCGAGAGCATCTTCAAGCACTTTGTTTGCTCCGGGTAGGTGATTCCTGCGGTCGCCAACTTCGCGTAGAGGTCGCGCAATTTGTCCAGGACAGGTTGCACCGGCTCTCCCTCGCTCAGGCGCAACGCGGACAACTCCCTCTCCAGCATCAATGTTGCAACAACGGAGGTCGGGGCGTGCAGCTCCTTCAACACCGTCCACGCCTTCGGACCGCACTCAACCTCCGGCAGCAGGTGCATGACGTGGTGACGCTGGTTCAGCTCCAAACTCTGCGACATCAAGTAGTAGCCAGCCGAGGCGCGCTCGTCCCAATCTTCCTGAAGGGCGGGGTCACTCGGTCTAGGCTCCTCCCCAATCATTAGTTTCAGCAATCCGATTTGACGGAAATAAAGTTGCATTTTCCAGGCCCAATCATCATAGCCCTCACCATTGAACTTCTCGACGGTGAAGTTTTTCAGCACCTCCTTGATCAGCGAGCCCTGGCTTGTTCGCGCTCCCCTTGGCGCAGAAACACCAGAATCATGGCTGCCGCTACGATCTTGGGCTGAAGATTCACCAGCTACCGCCGAGGTGTTGCCCGCCATAGCTACCTATATCGAGGATCACTATAACGCAGCTCTGATACCAGCTTGTTGGTGTAAGGGCCTAATAAACTCAAGCTATTAAGACTTTATCACACTTAAAACCTCTCCTCGGGGTCACCTCCAAGGGTCCTTGGGTGCCTGGTACAAGACCAGCCCCTATCCTCGGGTCCGAGTTTGTAGAGAGAGGGATCAAGAGGGACTTAGTCAAAAACAGCAAGAGTACCTTGAACGTCGCGCAGCGTATCGTGCAGACCGTCGATCGGATTAAGCTGAGAATTTCCTATATCGAAGCTCACTCTAAGAGCTTTAAAATAAGCCAAGTTGCCTCGCGAAAAGTTCTGCCATTACGAAGTTATGGCTCGGACAGCGTTAGCCTAGCGTTGGAGTGCTAGCGTACTAGCGTTGACTCGGGTAGCATTCCGCCGTCGCACCGCGTAGACAAGAAATTCCAGCAAGGAAGGAATTCGCTTGAATCAATTTCACTATATTCAGGTACAAACAGAGAAGGAATAAATAGCTCTAGCTAGCAAGGACCTTGGGAATCAACCTGGGAACAACCAGGGATGATCCCAAATAATTCCAAGCAACAGAACCAACCTGGCTGAACAAAATAGCAGGTGATAGGTTGGTGAACAACCTCTGGTTCTGTTTTTCCAACCTGGGAAAACAACAACCAGGTTCAGGTCCTAAAAACAGAACCTGTTTTGTCTTTGCCCAACCAGCCAAATGCTGGTTCCGCTGGTTTCCCCTGGCCCTGTAGCATGCAGATACAGACAAACAACATCCAACCTTCACCTAAATTGTACCCCTATAGTGCCTGCCCTGCTACACTATAGTCAACCAAACAAAACAGTACAATTTCGAGTTGGATAGAACTGAATCTGCGCAATCAAGTAAGTTGAACCGCAAAGCTTCCATCTTGGGTTCCTTTGCGAGCTCGTCCTTTCTGCTTGTACTGTTCATAGCGCGTACAATGTTATGCCGAAGCGCACATTGTGCGAGTACCTGCAAATGCTTCAAGCGAAAATTGCGAAAGCAAACAAACACACAAACATACCATTCACACGCAAATGCATTCGCACACGCATACTCGTACAAACAGACGGCAGGATGTCGTGCAATGTGAATTTGCACCCAACAGTTAGTCACCCGCCTCCCTGACCGCATTGCCACTGCTCGCGGCGCGCTTCTCCAGAAGCACTCCACTGAGCTCAATATCGATCTCCTTGAGACCGCTCTCGGGACGATCGAGAGTAGCCTTCTCTACGTTGCCTCCGCCACTGACGCGGTGGCCCCCCGTTTCTTTGCGAGGTGTGCCGCCCCTCAGCTTCCCACTTTCACTGCTACATGCGCTTCTGCTGCAGTGTTGGTTTCTGGGGACACTACTGCCGTTTCTGCCGCAGACTGGCAGAAACGAGGCAAGAGTGGCAAGAAGGGCGGGAAGGAGGGAGGTGGAGGTGGTGGAGGCGGCGTTGGAGGTGGCGGTGGAGGTGGGAGCGGCAGTGGTGGAGGCGGTGGCGGCGGCGGTGGCGGAGGTGCACCAGGCAGAGGGGACCTTGGAGGAGGTGCAGGACAGACATGCCCGCCCATTGGCGGTGGCCCGACCGGTGGGGGTGTTGGACCCCAGCAGCGGCAGTCGCAGCAGCACCAGCCACAGCAGGGACAGCAGCAGCAGCATAGACCGCAGCAGCAACAGGCACCACAGCAGTTCCAGCAGTGGGGGCCCACCACTGAAGTGGGGTCCGCAGCAGCACTGGGGTCCCCCGCCGTAGTGGGGTCCAGGAGGACCAGGGAGCACCGTCCGCATCGGCAGCGCTTCTAGCTGGGCCCCTCGCCCCTCTTGCCGTGACACTGGCCCCTGCACCCACTGGTGCCTTACCGGACCTGGCAGCCCATGTCTCTGCGGTCGTGACGACCACTCTGCCGCGCGGTGCTTCCGCCACCTCGACAACCTCTACCGTGCTCGTTGGGGCCCTTCAGAGACCACGCCTCGCCGGGCTCGCCTGTTAGCCCATAAGATTGATGTGTTTGATCTGTCCATGGACGATGCTCGTGAGCATGCTTTGTATGCTGATGTTGACTATAGTGCTGATAGATCAGTGTGCTCGCGTGTTCGTAGATTAGCTTGCTTGCCTCCTGCTAGTGTAGACTTGTGCCTTTCTAGTCTAGGTGCTTGTGTTGCTGCTCAAGGTGCTTTGTAGCCACTAGGACAGATGACCCTTCGGCTGAGGCGTCCCTATCCTTCACGCTAGACTCTGGTGCGTCTCAGTGCTTCTTCCGCGACCACACGACCCTCACGCCACTCCCCACTCCTGTTTCGGTGGCTCTGGCTGATCCTACCTCAGGACCAGCCGTTGCGTGTAGCTCCACTACCCTCCTGTATCCTGTGGTCCCCTCTGGTGTCCTGCGCGGCCTCCACATCCCCTCGTTCACTTGGAACTTGGTGGGTGTTGGTTAACTCCAGGACAAGGGGATCACGGTTATCTTTGTGGGGGGTGGGAGGACTGCGGCCTGAACAGACATTGCCACAGGTGCTGTTCTGGCCACGTTCACCAGGGAGCCCCGCTCCAGTCTCTACGTTCTCCAAACCGAGCTCTCCCTGTGCGTCCTCCGCTCAGGTCGTTGCGTCCCCTCTAGTCCAGGTGTCCCGTCCGGTTGCTGTGTCTAGCCAGGTGGTCGTGTCTTGTCCAGCTGCAGTGTCAAGTCAGGTTGCGCTGTCTAGTCCATGTTGGTGTAAGGGCCTAATAAACTCAAGCTATTAAGACTTTATCACACTTAAAACCTCTCCTCGGGGTCACCTCCAAGGGTCCTTGGGTGCCTGGTACAAGACCAGCCCCTATCCTCGGGTCCGAGTTTGTAGAGAGAGGAATCAAGAGGGACTTAGTCAAAACAGCAAGAGTACCTTGAACGTCGCGCAGCGTATCGTGCAGACCGTCGATCGGATTAAGCTAAGAATTTCCTATATCGAAGCTCACTCTAAGAGCTTTAAAATAAGCCAAGTTGCCTCGCGAAAAGTTCTGCCATTACGAAGTTATGGCTCGGACAGCGTTAGCCTTGTTGGTGTAAGGGCCTAATAAACTCAAGCTATTAAGACTTTATCACACTTAAAACCTCTCCTCGGGGTCACCTCCAAGGGTCCTTGGGTGCCTGGTACAAGACCAGCCCCTATCCTCGGGTCCGAGTTTGTAGAGAGAGGGATCAAGAGGGACTTAGTCAAAACAGCAAGAGTACCTTGAACGTCGCGCAGCGTATCGTGCAGACCGTCGATCGGATTAAGCTGAGAATTTCCTATATCGAAGCTCACTCTAAGAGCTTTAAAATAAGCCAAGTTGCCTCGCGAAAAGTTCTGCCATTACGAAGTTATGGCTCGGACAGCGTTAGCCTAGCGTTGGAGTGCTAGCGTACTAGCGTTGACTCGGGTAGCATTTCGCCGTCGCACCGCGTAGAAAAGAAATTCCAGCAAGGAAGGAATTCGCTTGAATCAATTTCACTATATTCAGGTACAAACAGAGAAGGAATAAATAGCTCTAGCTAGCAAGGACCTTGGGAATCAACCTGGGAACAACCAGGGATGATCCCAAATAATTCCAAGCAACAGAACCAACCTGGCTGAACAAAATAGCAGGTGACAGGTTGGTGAACAACCTCTGGTTCTGTTTTTCCAACCTGGGAAAACAACAACCAGGTTCAGGTCCTAAAAACAGAACCTGTTTTGTCTTTGCCCAACCAGCCAAATGCTGGTTCCGCTGGTTTCCCCTGGCCCTGTAGCATGCAGATACAGACAAACAACATCCAACCTTCACCTAAATTGTACCCCTATAGTGCCTGCCCTGCTACACTATAGTCAACCAAACAAAACAGTACAATTTCGAGTTGGATAGAACTGAATCTGCGCAATCAAGTAAGTTGAACCGCAAAGCTTCCATCTTGGGTTCCTTTGCGAGCTCGTCCTTTCTGCTTGTACTGTTCATAGCGCGTACAATGTTATGCCGAAGCGCACATTGTGCAAGTACCTGCAAATGCTTCAAGCGAAAATTGCGAAAGCAAACAAACACACGAACATACCATTCACACGCAAATGCATTCGCACACGCATACTCGTACAAACAGACGGCAGGATGTCGTGCAATGTGAATTTGCACCCAACACACTCCCCCTCAGCCTGCCGGCTGCATCCCCATCATTCCATACTAGTTCATGCTCATTCCACTCATGCGCACACAACGCCAATGAGGCTCATCCGCAAGCCTCTTGGTGAGGAAGTCTGCTGGCTGCTGGTGAGTCTTGATGTAGATCGGATTCACCGTCCCCCTCTTCACCTCCTTACGCAGCCAGTGCCACTTGATACGCATGTGTTTATTCAGCCCATGAAGCACAGCGTTCCTGGCCATCCCAAGAGCTCCCTTGCTATCACAAAACAGCGGCGTAGCAACCTTTTGCTCCTGGCCAATCTCCTCCAACAGCCTCCTCAGCCAAATCACCTCCTTCACCCCATGGAACATCGCCATGTACTCTGATTCCACGGAAGAGAGTGCTGTCTCCGTCTGCTTCTTTGACCTCCAACTAACCGGTCCTCCCCCAACTACGCAGATGTATCCTCCCACAGATGAGGAATCCTCCTTCTCAGAGGCCCACGTAGCATCAGTAAAGCAAGTGAGAAAAAGCTTGCCTTCTCCAAGCCTCTCCCCCTTCTCTTTCAGCACCTCAACCCCTTTCTGCTTCACCTGTGCAGATGCGGAGTATTGAACTCCAATGCTTGGGTGAGAGTTCAGATACTTCACCACACGCTCAGCTGCATCCACTTGCTCCTCTGATGGATTCTGCACTACCCTAGCCAGCTGCCCAACCGAGAAAGAGATGTCGGGTCTCGTGTGAACTGCTGCATACAAGAGGCTGCCCACCAAGGACTGAAATTGCTGCTGCTCCTCGGCTTCAACCCCTTCATCCTCTGCAGCTTTCACAAGCTTGAATTCTGCTGGCAGGGGAGTTGCAACCTTGCGCTCATTCTCAATTCCGTACTTCTCCCCAAGCTCCTTGATGAACTTCTCCTGGTGCAGCTTCAACCACCTGTGATCCAGATCCCTCTCCACGTGCATCCCGAGGTAGTACTTTACCTCCCCAAGGTTCTTGCACTTGAAGTTCTCCATCAGCTGCTGCTGCACCTTCTGGATCTCCTTCATGCTGCTGCTAAAGAGAAGAATGTCGTCCACATAGACCAGAAACAGCACCAGCTTCTCCCCCTCCCCCTTGAGAAAGAGGCTCTCATCACAGCTGCTGGTCCTGAATCCCATCTCCTCTAAAACAGCTGCCAACTTCTGGTACCAGCAGCGTGGCGCCTGCTTCAAGCCGTAGATGGACTTTTTCAGCTTGCACACCCTGCCCGTACCATCCTCATACCCAGGTGGCTGCGTCATGAACACCTCCTCCTCTAAAATCCCGTTGAGAAATGCCGTTGATATGTCCATCTGGATAATGAACTTCCCACTAACGGCTGCATCTGCCAACAAGACACGAAGGGTAGGGGGTTTGGCAGTGGGAGCAAAGATCTCATTGAAGTCCCGCTTCTCCTTCTGCATAAACCCCTTAGCCACCAACCTACTCTTGTAGATGGTGACCTGCCCCTTGTCGTCAGTCTTGATCCTTAGCACCCACTTGCATTGTACCGCTTTCTTTCCCTCAGGCAGCACCACTAGTTCCCAAGTCCCATTCTCCAGCAGGCTCTGGTATTCAGCATCCCTGGAAGCTAGCCATTTGTCCCTATCTGGTCCAGCTAATGCCTCCTCCATGCTAGCTGGTTCCTCTGGTGCAGGGGCGAGAAAACAGTACGCAGGTTGATCCTCCTCATCCGGGTCATAGCCATGCGGTAGAATCAGCAATGCCTCCTCGGTCCCAAGCTGCTGCTCCGCTACATCAGCTCCTGCAGTCAGCTTCTTAGTAGCCATACGGGTACGCCCTGGCCTGGAGACGGGTGTCTCCCATCCCTTCATAATAACACCCTTCGGCTTCTTAGTTTTCCCCTGCTGCTGCTCTCCTCCCTCGGATCCAGCAGCTCCACTAGTGCTACCGCTAATCTCCACACCATCACCTCCACCAGCAGGTGCCTCCTGCACCTTCTCTTTATCACCACCCTCTGCAGCTGCCTCCTCTCCCTCCTCCCACACACTAGGAGTCAGGTCCAGCTGCATGGTAATCTGCTCCATCTGCTGGGACACCCTGGCCTCCGGCTGTTTCTCCCAGCTCCCATACATCATGCCCTCAACAAACTTCACATCCCTGCTGTCAAACAACACACCCTTGGAAGGCTCCCACAGCAGCCATCCCTTGCTCTCAGCAGCCAGCCCCAAATGCACACACCAGATTGCACTCGCCCCCAACTTACTGCGGTAGGTCTTGGGGACGTGGGCGACTGCCATGCAACCGAACACCCTCAGCATGTCCACCGGCGGCTTCCTCCCAAGCCACCTCTCCAACGGCACCCACGAGTCATCCCCAACCTTTGTGAGTACCCTGTTCCTAGCGACGGTAGCGTGCCGAACAGCATGGGGCCACATGGAGTTGCCCAGCCCAGATTCTATGAGCAGCGCCCTAGCTGTCTCCAGAATTGTCCGGTTCGCCCGTTCTGCTACACCGTTGGACTGTGGGGTGTAAGCCGTGGTCAGCTCCCTCTGGATGCCCTGCTTCTTGAGCCAGGCCGTCATGTCAGTTCCAAGAAACTCACCACCCCGATCTGTCCTAATCCGCTTCACCACACACTCCGCTTGCTTCTCCACGAATGGCAGCCAATCGTCCCGAATCGTGGAGGCGGCGTGATCTTTCTGCTTC